AAAAAAAAAAAAAAAAAAGTTTAATATAACGCGAGAGATGGTCTCTCCCTATTTGCCTCATATTTATCCGAGAAAAAACGAACCATCGAGAACTATGTGTAAATAACATCAGATTTATACGTGAGAATAAAATGTGTCAGCTTCGTTTTCGACGTGTATGTCTTGCTTCGTGATCGACCCATTAAGTACCAGTTAAGCGATTTCCTAGGTTGTGAGTAAATCGTAACGATTTCCCTTCTTCAGTTGTCCTGTTCGTTTCATTCGTTCATATCGTTCTCTGCACAGGCCTTAAGCGCAACGTAATATAACGCTAACCATTCCTACAAATAATTAATAACCGTTGAGAATAATTTGTTTAGATGCAAAGACGAAATGATCAAAATGATGGAACATATCGTGCAACATTTTTGAAAGTGAAGCACTATGAATGTACATGTGTACTGTATAATTGGAAATAAAAGTGACTTGCTCGACGAGGTGAGTTTTCTCTCCACGGTCGCTTTTTCGCCTTCTGATACATGATTATAATATTTGAAAAATACTCAGTTCGACAGCTGAACGTTGCGTTGTATCTTCCTTCGAAATTCGCCATCGTTATAATCATTATCGCAGCTGCTGAATGTCGCAAGTAACCGAAGTAACAAACAGGGAAACTAAAGATGAATTTTGAAACGAAGTCATGCTGGAAAAACGGAGCAAAAATAAAAAAAATTGAGTTCCGCCAAAGACGAAGCATGCTGGTACTTAATGGACTCGTGAGAAAGACCAACCACGCGTAGAGCTCCCTTTAGTTACAGTTCTTCGTGTTCTTCGAAGTTTTTATAATTGCGAGTGACGTTTATAAAGGACAGTCGTTTAAGATTTGCGTTACATCTTCGATGTTATTTGGTATTGAAACCTGATCAATTGTCAGTAGAGACAAAGAGCGTGAATGGAAGAATGAAAGAGACGCAGAGCGCGAGAAGCAAGGATATATATATATACACGTGTACAGTTTAAAATATACGCGTTACTTATATCAGCTAGAAAGTATGAGACTCGAGTTTTCACATAGTGCTCCTTCGTTTCAAGTTATTCAAAAGAGAATCATTATTGTAAGAAGTAATTACTTTACACGTGTCGAAAGGGCTGGATCAGAGCGTATGTATTAATTTACCATTATAACACACTGATTAAATGGCTGAATGC